AACTTCTTGATCATATTCCCACATTTCCTCCATTCCACGGTCCTGAGAAAGAACTCTATCCAAATCATGGTTTACATTATCCCAGTTCCAAGTAACGTAGTTGACGTCGAAGTAGTTCTGTCTGCGTCTAACTCTGCTGCTAATGGTACTATTGTTGAAGTTATCAATGGTATCAACATTGGCTGAGACTGGCCGGGATTGTACGATATAGGTTGCTAACTCTGTTATATTTTTGATGCCAGTGGTATGGGCGGCTGCATGGTTACGGTAGACAGATTTCCAAGTGATAAGGTTTGCGTTAGCGATAGTACCTTCATCTGCGTCCCTCTTTTCTCCGACTGGTTCCATATCTGCATCAGCTATGTGAAACAATCTGATACTTCTCACACCAAGTGCAGAGCTCAATATGTCATTCACCTCACTTAATGTGTCTGTCTCCCAATGTTCATCAATATGATACTATTCCAAGTATCCATGTCTATGCACACCTTTACTTTCGAAAACATCTCTTTTGGCATTACCCAAATTTGCGCCCCCTAAAACACTCAAAGCAAGCCCAAGGCCACCCACAACAACTATACCAGCAGCTGCATACCAACATTGTGGAGTAGCAATTGCAGGAGCTGTAACACAAGATTTAACCCACCAAGCTCCTGTAAGGCCAGCAGCAGCTACCATCATTCCACCAACAGCAGCAGCTGTAAACCAAGCCCACAAATTCCTTCTTTCTAAGTAATCTTTTGTGGACATCAAATCTTTTCCATAGTCTGGTATCTTCAGTAAAGCCTTGCTATATTGATGAGATTCGCCATGGTTGACAAGCCAATCAGTACTTGTATACAAGAATATGAAGATTATAGTAATCAAAACCGCCATACAAGTCAAAATCTTCACCACCTTGCAAAGCTGAGCGAGTTGTTTTTCCCTCTGGTCATCTTTCATCTTGAAAAAACGTTATTGAGGAATTGCTTTTATGATCGCCGTGAATGAACTAATTCAAAACAACTAAAAAAGACCAAAGTGTTCTGTAAAGCTGCTCATTATATATATGGAAAGTTTGGCGAAACTTGGGGGGCAACCATATTGAACAAAAATCAGGAGATTTAAGCATATTTGGGAGTCTTTCCTATTTTTTTTGACGTGCATATGCGCAATCCCGCTCCATGCATACACTTTTTTGAACTTTGTGGATCTATGATCAAAACACTTTTATTCAACCTAGGGTCGTGCGCAAGTGCAATACTGTACAGTCTCTTTATTTTTATTTCATACTAGTGCGACATAATTTTTCAAACCAGTGCGACATAAATTGTTCAAACTAGTGCGACATAATTTTGTTTTATGTGATTTTGTTTCCCGTAGGAAAGAAAAATATTAATATAATAATGAAGTTCAAGCTGGAGTTACACACAAACAGATATGTAGATGGACTAGGTAATTCTTTTCCTTTGGACCCAGACCTCATGGATTTGGACAGTCAGACAGCTCCATTAGAATTCTGTTTTTGTTACAGTGATTACAATGAAGCAGTCCCACCAACTAAAATTGATGTAGATGTAGACATTAGCTCTGAACAGGATGGAACCTGTAAGTTTAAAAGAGGTCCATACAGATACTACTCTGAAGCAGAGAAGCAAAGAGTCTGGCAACTAGTTATCGAACAAGGGTCTTCTGCATACAAAGCTGCGCAAGCACTCAATATCAGTTTACAAACAGCTTATATTTGGAAAAGAAACTGGAATCGCCTTATTGCTAATGAAGCTAATGGTATTTTTGAAAAGCCAAAGAAGCGTGGCCGCAAACATATTCTCACAGAAGATCACAAACTCTTTTTGAAAGAGTTGGTTCTTTCTGACCCAACTGTTACTGTAAACTTCTTTTTGGATAAACTAAGAAGTACATTTGGAGGTGTGAAGGCAAGTGAGTCTACTATTTATAACTTTCTCACCAAGGTTTGCAAGTTTAGTCTCAAGAGACTTTCTAAATGGGCCATGAGACGGGATCTGCCAGAATTAAAACAACAGAGATTCGAGTGGGCACTTGAGAATAAAGATAAAACTGACCTTGAAAAGAACTGTGTTTTCATTGATGAGGCTGGTTTCAACATTAGTATGAGACGGGAATATGGGTGGTCAAAAGTAGGTGAAAAGGCTGTCCTTAAGGTTCCTGTCACTAGAGGTCTCAATGTGTCATTCTTAGGTGCCATCTCTCCAAAAGGGTGTATTGACTTGAAGGTGCGACTCCCAGTCGAGAATACTCCCAACAAGAAGAATTACAACACTACGATTTCGGAAAAAAAGACAAGGGTTGG